AGATTTTTTAATCTCAATAGTTCAGATTCTGGCCTACTGACTTCCACTTTCCTGACTGTAGAAGAGGAAGCAATGCTCTTAATAGGTTGGTTCTGCAATGTTTTGGGAGCCACATCTGGAGGTATGCCTTGAACCCACTCCTGCATTTCTTCCAACAATTTGCAGGTACCTAATCTCCTGGATTTAACCCCTTTCTGCCTGAAACACCTAGAGTGTTTCTGTTTCCTACACTTACTCTGACTAATGTAGGAATAATGTCAGAAATTTGAAGTGTTTGAGATAATCGGATATATTAAATATGTAATTACTTAAAATGTTCATGTTTCTTTAACTTTGTCCCCCTGATGTCCAGCTTAGGGCCTGGCATAGTGAAAGTACTTGATAAATGCTGTGAATAAAAATGAATACACAGGTAGATGAATGGATGGAATAAAAGGGCATTAATTTAGATGCCAAGCATAATATAACCAATAAATGGAAGTGTCAGGATTCAAATTCAGATCTGCTTAACTCCAAAATCTGTACTTTTCCAAGAACAGGCTGCTGCTCAGCACACTAAACAAATTAGCAAATGGAACTTGAGATGTTCTTCCAACTAGTTGGTTGTTTAAAAATTACACAAGATAAGTCCCAAGCAACAGAGAAAAGCATTACATCAATCGAGAGGTTTTTATCATCCTATCAGCTTTCCCACAAGGGAGAAGACATTCTTCAGAAACATACAAAAGCAAAAGAGCTACATCACACTTCCCCCAGTTATATATTTGGGTAGCACTAGAGGCTGTGTCCTCTGTGACTAGGGACACTTTTGTTTCTCTACATGATACCTGGAGGGAATTTCTCAACTCTTTCAGCATTAGCCATATCTTCCCTGTCAAAACCAACAACAACAAAAAAACCTTAACTTAAGCAAGAACTTCAACATTCTTTTCCACTAAGCTATCTATCCATAATATCAAGTTAGTCACAAGACAGACTAAAGTTTCACTTCTAGAGTAAAGTGAACCAACATTTGAACCTTAAGTGTTGAAAATCCAAGGGCATAGGTAAGTGTTTAGACACGGAGCAAGAACCACCGTTAATTATTCAGAACCTCTGTGTGCAGGCCACTGTACTACATGTTATTTCATTTAATCTCCACAACAACCTTTGAAGTACTATTATTATGCCCAGTTTTAAGATGAAGAAACAGAGGCTTAAGCATGTTAAGGAAGTTGTGCAAGATCACACAGCTAGTAAATGACAGAGGGGATTTAAACCAAAACCTATCATGTTCAAAGGTCATCTTTCCATTACACCAGATTTCCAGATGGCAGAACGATAAGATATGTAGAGTAGTCCCTCTGCTGACACATGGTCGCCAATATGTAACATAAACAAGTAAACCTTGGTTATTCTGTAAGCCACTAAGATTTGGGGGTTGTTTATTATTACAGTCTTACCTTAAAAAAGCTGGTTGGTATGGGTCTTTAACTACTTACTGTTTATAGTGGTATAAACTTTGGAAATTGCTTTAATAACTTGGTACAGCGCAAACTGTGCTTAGTAAGAGCCTCTATTACTTTATACCATCTCCAAACAAGTATTTACTTTAATTTAAAATAAAGCCTCAAAAATTAATGAAACTCTGCAAGGAAGGCTGTGAATATGTTGGGGCATGGCTTTGCATTCAAATAGTTGAATACAAATTGCTGCATAAACTTCTAGAAAAACATTTTCTTAAGGGCAATTAGAGAAATGTAAGAGTACATTATCAGATGGGAAATGTAATTAGAGCCCCAATATTTATATGCAAACTTGCAAACTAAAAACTTATAAGAAACTTTCTAGAACTGATTTGATAAAATATTGCTAACAGAAATGCCTATAATTTTCTTAAAAACCTGTATTTAGTTGAGGCTAGGAAAATATATCTTAAGGTGATAAGCAGTTACTGCATCTATAAAGATAGAAGATCTGAATAATCCTTTAGACTGTTTTTGTGTTAGGAAGCCCCTAATGGGGCTCTTTAGTTGCACAAATTTAAACCAATACCCATTTACTCATCTCGGAAAATTTTTTTAAAAAGCTTTTTTCCGAACGCAGATATTTTAGAGTGAGAAGCTGAATATATTACTTGGGTATATAAATTACTGTTTTTGACAAAGACATGCTATACTAGTGCAAAATTATTATGGAGAATTATGAATGTATAGATAGAAATATTTCTTATCTCTAAGTGGATATAGATCTGTGTTGTGGGAAAGTGTATGTTCTTGTTTAAGCTGTGGCTTGCACTGTTTCAGAAACATAGATCCAGAAGATCACATAAAGGATTGTCAGACTTGTTTTTCATCACTTACTAGAGGAGCTGGAACTGCAAAAGGAAAAATATATTAGCCCATGTTTGGCTGGCAAGATTCAACCTCGACTATGTACTACATGTGGTGTTAATTGTGAGCAATCCAGATTTTGGAAAATATATTGATGTTGGCAGAGGAAGAGGTTATATTCCTGCAGAAAAGACAGGAAATTCTTATAAAGGCAAACATTCTCATTCTCATTCTCAATCATCTTATACAGAGATAGATTAAGCCAAGGGAAAGAATTTTTTCTCCCCTGGACTCTGGATTCTACAGAGTAGAAATTAACTAAGAAGGAATTCCAGCCAGAAAAGGAAGGATCCCATGGTCATGGGTCTACACTGTAGACTACATGGGTCCCCACATTTAGTAGCCCTCTAGGGCCAGCATGGTAGTACCAGCACCAGCCTGAAAACTGAGGGGATCCCAGAACTGTAGAACATAATCCTCAAATTTTGGAAAGTTCATCTGCAAATTCCACAGTGAGTAAACACTAATAGATACTTACTGAGAACAAAACCTATTATGGACACTTTGCATAAAACATCATTTCAATGCAAGAATGGTTATAGACACCTACACTCCTGCACTGAGCATTATGAGCTAACTAGACTACAAAAAAATAAAATAAAATAAAGCAACCAACTGGAACAGAGCAACAACTCCCGTTCTAGGCTAAGCAGACCAACAGGGGAGTTTGTTTCCACCAGCTCTTGGAGCCTTATTACTAAACTGTAGTAATGGTTGATGAAGTATATGGAGGGAACATTTCACTTGAAAAAGTATATTATGTTTACAACTATTAACAATGTAAGATTTACCCGCAACAAAAATATCTATAAGAGAAACTATGATAAAACTGAATTTTTGAATTAGGTTTAAGCAAAAGTTACAAAAGCAGGTTATTTTCCTCTCAGTCAGAGACTGGCAAACTTTTTCTGAACAGGGCCAGATGGTAAATATTTTAGGCTTGTGGATTGTGTAGTCTATGTTGCAATTACTCAACTCTGCAAGCAAATTTAGAAAAGTAATTCTGAGAGTTTTCAGCTAATCTGGGGTACCTTCCAAAACAATAAAGAGCAAAAAATAATCATTCTTAAAATTTTAAATAAAAAAATGTTTATTGAAACTCTTTCTAACACACTTGGCAGCAGTATTAATATATAATACCACTAATACTACTAATACTAATAGCTAACAGTTATATAGGACTCATACTATAAGATTAAATTGGCAAAAAAGGTAGCTTTTTTAATCAAATAAAGCATATCTGCCATATTTTTAATATAATTCCTTAAAGAGCCATTTTCTCACTCCAATTAGGAAATGTACAATATAAAGTTGAGTTTTAAGTTTTAAGAGAAAGGACTAAGTAAGAAGAGGGAGAGAGGGAGTAATAATTAGGAAGAAGACATGGTAAAAATATCTCTGCAATAGATCATTTTAAGAGCTGTTTTCTGGCAAAATCATATCCTATTATCATCTATAATGGAACAATAAAGATGAGAAGAATTAGCCAAAAACAAAACAAGAAGAATCAAAGAATGAGGGAGGCCAGTCCTACAATAAGATTTTCAAGAATGTATTATTAGATGACTTATTTGGGCTTAAAAACTGACCATCCTTATTATACTGTGAAATGAAAAAACAATCCTTGCACCCATCGTGTCTATCCTCTGACAGCAACATGATGAAATTTCCATAGAAACAACATTCTGCTCATCTAACATCTCACCTTTTTCAAAGAACAGTCAGTAAATTGTCAATATTTGTTTTAACAGAGAATTTACTGGTAATACAGGGAGTTACAGCAGAAATATGTCCTCAGCATAGTTTACTAGGGAAGATGGGACAAACAAATGAATAGATATATACTATTTCTTCGTTTTTCAGAGAATATTTACAACTAAAACAAGTGAAACCGTGGAATAGAGAATTATGTGAGTGAGCTGTTCCTAGAGATAACTCCTGCACACAGTAGAATCAAATATTCCTAATCTTTGTGCTTCTTAACCTAGTAAAAATAAGTTATCCCCAACGAAGACAATAGGCCTTGACACACAAATATTAAAAACAATTGCCAAATTAGGGAAACCATATTTCAGTGCAAATTATTCTATAACACCTCCACCCACAGTATTGCCTTTAGAGGAATGGTACTAGAGAGTGTTTTTGCTGCTTGTGGAGATATTTTTTCCTCATTTTTTAAAACTTTTATTGAGTTATAACTTACATACTACACAAGTCACTCACTGTAAGTGTATACAATTCAATGGTTTTTAGTATATTTAGAGTTTTGTATAATTGTCATCATAGGTATAGGGTTTTAAGTGGTCAGCAAATCACTGAAAAACTGGGTCTTCTGATTTCAACACTAACAGTAATCAACTCTTTGAGTATCTTTCTTTTTTTTCCCTCAAGTAATTATTTCCAGGGTATAGTGCTGACACTAGAACATCCTTACTGAATTGAATTGACAACATTTAAAAAGTTTCCTTTTGAGGAAGTAACTTCTCATAAACATCAACAGTGTTGAAAATAAAGCAGCTTCTAGGAATCAAGCTAGTAAAATCCATACTTAATAGATTAGCTAATTGCAGGAACAATCCATAAACCTGCCTGTGTATATATAACTAAGGAGTTTAGAAATATTCTAACCTTTTTAAGATGAAGATGTAATCTCAGGAGGCCAAACTGCAAGAGGTTGTAATTCAGTCAGCAGAAATCTATTCAATTGCCTCGCATGCTGTTCAGAGAAAGTTTGCGTGAAGATTAGCCTACAGAAAAAGAATGGCTAATTTTTACCCAGCTCTATCCAGGAATAGAGACACAAAATCCAGTGGGTATGAATTATGCTGTCACTGAAAAGATATACTCTGTTGTGGGGCAGGAATCATTTATCAGGTCTCACCAAGATCTGAATGAAATATCTCTCAAAACGGTTCACCTCATTTTGTTTTGATTCCTCATTTATTAAGCAATGGCCTGATTTGCTTTCCAGATCTGCCAAAACAGTTATCTTGGTATATGCAATTTGAGTGCCCTGGTTATCCAAAATGAATCCGCCCCACCACCCAACAAAAGAACAAATGGTTTGGTTTACTTGCTTTCTTGTCAAATAAAATATGTTAATCAACTCTGGTACACCAATAATATTAAGATCACAACCTTAACTAGAATAATCACCCAGCCAATGTCATCCTGGGAGACCTTAATAAACAGCCATTCCGACTTCTCCTGCTACATCCTGACCTCATCATGGACTCCCGAACCTATAATTTGGTTTTGTTCAAACACAATAAAAGAGAGCAACAGAGAAACAAGAATGTCCTATTCACTCTATATTAAAGTCTACCTTGTATTTTTCTGAACTGAACAAAATCAGAAATGACTGCATTAAATCAAAGCAAATTCACAGTTTTATTATTTTTCTGGAATGAAAATGTTTTGAAATTAAATGCATTTGTTTAAATCACTTCAGTTATCATTGACTTAACATTAATCAACAGAAGGTGAATCTGAATAATTCTGTATTTATGGATAAAAGTTAGAACAGAAAGATAACATGCTCAGTAAATAAGACAATGCTGGAAACTAAATAGATTTGTTAAAACGGTATCCTTTTTGATCAGCTACTCATTTAAAAATTATCAGGTTCTTGCCTTTTTAATTAAAAGATCAGTTTTGAAAAATATCATTGAGGATGGTCAAAGGATAGACAATCTGTTTTTCCCTCTAAAATTTTCAGAGGTTCTTTTCCCTCTTGGGATCTACAGACCCCTTTAAGAATCTGATTAAAATTTCAAATCCTCTTTGCAGAAAAAGGGACATGCACATATATACATAATTTCGGAAACCAGCACAGATTGTTCAAGGACTACCAAACATTTGTAAACTATGTTCAATCAACTTCTAGAACTAAGAAATAATACCCTTCTCCTAAACGATCTATTTTTTTTTTTCATCTCAAAGGAACTTTAGATTTAGAACAAATTTGTTTTTCCTTCTTTACTGTGACTTCTGGGATGACCAGTCAAATTTGCAGTTCATCTCTAGGAATTCACCAGGCTATTACTGCAGGCATTTTGTGTACTAACCTTATCCATGACTTATTTTCCCATTCCCCCTCATTTCTTCATCCAGTTTTAATAACGTTTTATGGCAGCTCTACAAACCGCCCCATGTTCTTGGGGAGAGGGATTGTTCCAAATTAATGTATGCTATGATGAAAATCATCCTTAAAGTCAGGGTGCAGATTTGTTTTAGCACACTTATGACTGCAGGGTTTTTTAAGAATTTGAATTCATTACTAATATTTAAATCCCAACATTTCACATAAAAATTCAGATTTTAGATGTCTCTGGAAAGAATGTAAAAAGTTCTTATCTCCTTGGGTGAGCATGGAAGCAGGATCTGCTCTGAGCAAGCAACTGTGGTCTCCAGTAATCACAATTCTCACATATCCATTTTGCTCATTTATATTACCCGAAAGTCCCGATGAGTTAAAAGAAGCGAACTTTAGGATTTTATACACGCACACACTTTGTCTCGTTCTTTGAAAGAGGGTGGGAAAATAACATGCACAATTCGTTCTGTAAACCTTCACTGGACCTCTACTCTGTGCTAAGCCTAATAATAGGCGATTAAAGAGAGAAGCTGAGGTTTGGGTTCCGGTTGGCAGATACCACCAGTGATTGATCAGGGCACGAATCACCTCCACTAGCACAAGAATGAATTGAGCTATACATAGTTAAGTTTTGAACCTAAGGTTGGAAGGACACTTAAAGTTAAATATTTACTGGGTTCCCCTAAATGAGACATTTATCTAATCAACCTACATCTTGTTCACACAGGAAAGGGAAGACACAGTCAAGCCTTGGATCTTGATTAAGGACAACGCGGTCCCGGACTCGGCGCACTAAGGATGCCCCCGTTTCCGGAGCAACCGCCGGTCCCACCCCCTTTGACCCCGCCCCCGGGATTCTTTCCCGCCAAAGGCCGTTAATGCCGCAGAGCATAGTGGGACAGGTTCTAGACTTGGTTCCACTAAATCCTTTTAAGGTGCTGAGTTGCTTTAAGAGGTTTGTTCCTGAGGAAAGTAACTCTTAAGACTCGACAGGGATTAATAACTCCTTCAAGGAGAACTCTCTATTAGTTTATCAAACGACGAGTCACTCCACGAGCAAACCACTCCGCAAATCGAAAACGCGGGGAACTTTTTTCCCTTCGCGCGGAGGGTGACGTCGCGCGTGCGTGGTCGTAGTTTCGCTTCACCCGTTACGCTCTTGCGCGTGCGTACTGAGATCAAATAGCAGCTTCCTACCGCTTCTCTTCCTCCCTCCTCCCATATCCGTGCGCCAAGCTGATAAAGGCGCCATTTTGGACGGGCCGCGGGAGACGTGGTGTCGCTGCGGTCTCGCTCTGCTGTGCGCTAGGCTTGGTGGGAAGGCCTGTCCTCGAGTCCGCGCTTTTCATAGCCGCCATGTCGGGAGGTGGTGTGATTCGTGGCCCGGCAGGGAACAACGATTGCCGCATCTACGTGGGTAACTTACCTCCAGACATCCGAACCAAGGACATTGAGGACGTGTTCTACAAATACGGTGCTATCCGCGACATCGATCTCAAAAATCGCCGCGGAGGACCACCCTTCGCCTTCGTTGAGTTCGAGGACCCTCGGTGAGGCGGCCTAGGCCTTGCGGCCTTGTGAAAATAGGTTAGAGTAGTTGGGGATAACTCCAAGGCCTTCATTTGGAGAACTGGGAGGTGGGCTCTTAGGTTGAGAGCCAGACCATATCTCGCAAGAGTCGAGTAAGGAGCTGAGTCGGTGTGGCTTTTCTGGTGGCTGGGGCCCCTGGTTGTTTCCAGAGCTTACTCAGACTCGGAGCGGGAAACTGAGGCGCTGAGAGCTTGTGTAGTTAGTGGTCGGGAGCCTGGCGTGCTTCTGGGTGGGGGAGGGGCCATTCCTATTATGTAGCGCATGTGGGCTCTTCCATACTGGGTGCGCATGTGCGGGGAGTCACTAGTTCCTGGCTGTGTTAGCTTCTCCAGGTCCTTTTTCTTACCCCTTTTGCTTTCTGTGATCATGCAGAGACGCGGAAGACGCTGTGTATGGTCGCGACGGCTATGATTACGATGGATACCGTCTGCGGGTGGAGTTTCCTCGAAGCGGCCGTGGTACAGGCCGAGGCGGCGGCGGGGGTGGAGGTGGCGGGGCTCCCCGCGGCCGCTATGGCCCCCCATCCAGGCGATCTGAAAACAGAGTGGTTGTCTCTGGTGAGTCTGCTGTTAATGTGGATTGATGAGAAGGGACAGAAATCACTTAAATTTTTTCTTGCATGACCAGTTTGATAGATGCAGGTTTTTATGTTAGATCTTAAATTAGTTTGTGTGAATTCGGTAAACAAGGATTACTGTAATGAAGATTTATCAAATTAGGTTGCAGTACCTACAACGTGAAGAGCCTTACCTGTCAAATACTTTGGATTCTGGATTGCAGAATCTTAGGTCTTTACCCAGGATCTTAAATGCAATCATTAATTTTAAAGTAGTCTTTGTTGTAATGTAAATTAAGTTTAATAAGAAGTTTAGGATGATTGGAATTGAAAAACACTTTTTCAGGACTGCCTCCAAGTGGAAGCTGGCAGGATTTGAAGGATCACATGCGTGAAGCAGGTGATGTATGTTATGCTGATGTTTACCGAGATGGCACTGGTGTCGTGGAGTTTGTACGGAAAGAAGATATGACCTATGCAGTTCGAAAACTGGATAACACTAAGTTTAGATCTCATGAGGTAGGTTATACACTTATTCTTTTCTTTGGCCAGAATTGGATACAGTGGTCTTAACAGTGGAATTTTAAGGTAAGATTCAGAAAAGAGTGTCCAAGTAAAGTGCCAGATTTCTGGTATTAGCTACATTGTATTCATTCAGCATGCCTGAAGACAGGTAAAAGCTTAGATCTTTCAATCGAAAGTTCTGTCTATTCAATAGGGAGAAACTGCCTACATCCGGGTTAAAGTTGATGGGCCCAGAAGTCCAAGTTATGGAAGATCTCGATCTCGAAGCCGTAGTCGTAGCAGAAGCCGTAGCAGAAGCAACAGCAGGAGTCGCAGTTACTCCCCAAGGAGAAGCAGAGGATCACCACGCTATTCTCCCCGTCATAGCAGATCTCGCTCTCGTACATAAGATGATTGGTGACATTTTTGTAGAACCCATGTTGTATACAGTTTTCCTTTACTCAGTACAATCTTTTCATTTTTTAATTCAAATTGTTTTGTTCAGAATGGGCTAAAGTGTTGAATTGCATTCTTGTGTACTATCCCCTTGCTCCTAACATCTACATTCCCCTCATGTCTGATAAATTGTATTTTAAGTGATGTCATAGACAGGATTGTTTAAATTTAGTTAACTCTCCACGCTCTTCAGACTGTGATATTGTGTAAATGTCTTGTTCTCCTCTGGTTTGTGTGAACTGGGATGTTGGGGATGTTTTTGGTTATCTTACTTGGGGAAGTTCTTATGTTTATCTTGCTTTTCATGTGTCTTTCTGTAGACATATCTGAAGAGATGGATTAAGAATGCTTTGGATTAAGGATTGTGGAGCACATTTCAATCATTTTAGGATTGTCAAAAGGAGGATTGAGGAGGATCAGATCAATAATGGAGGCAATGGTATGACTCCAAGTGCTATTGTCACAGATGAAATTGGCAGTATTGACCTTATACTAAGAGGAAAGGGTTAAAAAAAATGAATATATGCATCTACCTTAAAACATTTGCAAACGTCTTACGCAGTTAGCTACAATTGCTTTGCTCATTAAACCTTGGCAATTGTGGCAAAATTACATTGCCCATTTTGTAACAATTTATTTTGCTCCCTTCCCCCCTTTTTTGTTTTAATAGGGACTAATGTGGGAAGAACTGGCTAATTTGTCACAGTGCTTAGTTACAACTGTTAATGTGTGACCTGCTGTTGGTGTACATGTGGGTACAGGGTGTCTTTAATTCCAATCAGATAGAGTATAATATCAATACTGCTAAATCTGCATGTCCTCTGTGTGACTGATATAGCGTTGCTATTTCATTTTTTTAAAGACAAAATGAAAGCAAATTATAGAATTCCAACATACCGGTGTAGATAATCTAGTTGGGAATACTTTTAAGTCTCACCTTCCCCTTTAAACTAATATGTTTAAAACTAATTGACTGATATGTTTAAAACTTTAATTTACAAGTTAAATTGCAGATGGGAGCATTAGATTTAGTTTAGACTTAGGTGTGGGTAGCAATCCCAGTATACTTTTCAACTACATAACTTTTTGCGACCACAAAACCTGTAATACGCTGTACAGTAACAAGTGTTGGCATTATCAGTTGAACTGTAAATATAAAATGCTTCTTCCAATTAGTCTCTATGATGATTAAGTTTCTAAAATTTATCTGAACACCATTCAGAAACTTGTTTTGGGGAATTTGATAGTTATTGATGTACATCTGTTAAACTGATGACAGACATAACTCATCATTCCCCAGAAACCTTTTTTGATTACAGTATCTAACATTTTGCCTCCTCTTTTTTGGTTTTGCTGGTTATAAAGGTTTGGATTGGAGAGGGCTCACTGGATCCCAATCCTTGGAGCTGGATCATTGGATTCAAATCATAATGTGGATAGGATAGGGAGGATGAATTACAAGGATTCATGGAGCGGGATCAGATTACCAGGAACATAGGAGTGGATTCCTGCCCCAACCAAACCGCATTCGTGTG